CCTTCCGCCTCAGCCTTCCAAGTAGCTGGAACTACAGGCGCGCACTACCACGCCCGGCTAATTTTTTGATTTATTGTGGAGATGAGGTCCCGCCAAGTTGCCCGGGCGGGTCTCGAACCCGCGGGCTCAGGCAATCCACTCACCTCAGCCTCCCAAAGGCGCGGGATTACAGGCTGAGCCACCGAGTCTGGCTGTACTCCTTTTTTATAGTTCAAAAGTTGGCTCAAGTTAGGCATCATCTCTGATTCCTCTCTTTTCTTTAGTCTGGATATTTAATCTATTAGAAGACCTTTCATTTCTGCCTTCATAGCATATCCCAAGACTGTGGCTCACCATCTCCATCACTGTTAACCTGGTCTAAACTCTTCTGTTGTGACATCCTGACAGATCTTCCTGATTCCAGATTACCCCTTTAAAGTTCATAAACACAGAGCTGCCAGAGTCATCTTCTGGAAATACATCCAAGTTTTATCAGTCGCATGCTTGAAACACTCCTAGAATGTTCCAGCAAACTTACAATAAAATATCAACGTCTGGAAGGTCTCTGCTTCATCTGGGCATTTTCCTCCTCTCCTACCTTCTGCCACCTTCTTTCTGTTTCTTGATCTTGTCAAGCTTTTCCCTAAGTTTAAGGCTTTTCCACTTGTTATTCTCTTCGCCTAGAAGATTTTTTTCAGGTGCTGCCACAGTTCACCCACTGCTTGCTCCTATTTTTGTTCTGGTATTATCTAATCTGACAGGGTTTCTTGTTCATATGTTTGAACAAGAGAGTGCAGGACACTTTGTTGCATTTATATGCTTGTTACAACAATTTCCCAGCAGATGGCGGCCAAGTGTCTTGAAGAATTATGTCATTTTGTGTTTCCACAAGAGTGTCACCTGGGCTAGCATCGCCACGGTTGGCAGAACGTGCTTCTCTGACTGCCCCGCCTAGTCATCCTGCCTTCCTGTTTCTTTTGCTCATCTCACACGACGTTTTTCTTCAGAGTGATAAGGGTTTTTCAGGCCAGCCTGGGCTTTGAGAGTGGCAGCTCAGTGGACCCGCCAGCCAGGTCCCAGAGAGGGTCGTCTCGAGGGGCTGGTAGTCCTAGCCCCAGAAGTGTTGGCTCTAATGGGCTGGCAAGCAACCCCTGAGAGTGTTGCTGGTTCGGTGGGTTCGCAAGCCTAGCCCCTGGGGTGTCTCAGCTTCCAAGTCTGGACTTCTTCGAGCAGCTCTCCTGCTTCAGCTGGCTCCGTAGGATGGCAAGCCAGCCTCTGGGGTGCACAGGTCTTCCGCTCCTACGATCTTCTGCACCTCTTCAGGTTGCAGCTCTTCAGGGTTGAGGTTCTCCTCTCATGCCCAGGAAGAATGAGGGACACGGACAGCCGGAAAGTGAGAAAGGAGGATTTATTGAGAGGCAGAAAGCTCCCACAGTGGGAGGGGACCCGAGGGGTTTCCCCGTTCTGGAGTTGAAACCAGGTGCTTATGTAGCCGTGAGTCCAAGCTGATTGGCCAGCACTAGCTGTGAGTTGATGGGTCCACACTTAGCTGTTCTGATTGTTCAGTACTAAGAACCAGTCAGCCGGAGGTAGGAGCCTAATGGTGAGCTGATTGGTTGCTTTTCTTTTTTTTTTTCTCTCTCTTTTTTTTTTGGTTGGAGTCTCACTCTGTCGCTCAGACTGGAGTGCAGTGGCCGCTCCCGGCCACACAGCCTCGACCTGCTGGCCTTGGCAATCCTTCTGCCTCAGCCTTCCAAGTAGCTGGAATTACAGGCGCGCACTACCACGCCCGGCTAATTTTTTTTGATTTATTGTAGAGATGAGGTCTCGCTGCCCAGGCGGGTCTCGAACCCACAGGCTCAGGCAATCCACTCACCTCAGCCTCCCAAAGGCATGGGATTACAGGCTGAGCCACCGAGCCCGGCGATTGGTTGCTTTTCAATCCCAACAGTGAGTATTTAAACTGTAGCTTGACAAGCTCACCTGGAGCTTATTGACCAATGCTGAGCCTGAGATGCCTGCTGGGAGTTCGCTACATTGTTACCAGAGGACCCACCTGTCTGTCAGCCCAGCCTTTCTCTAGCTATCTCCTGTCTCAAGAGCATCTGTCACTATCTGAAATCATACTACTTTTTTTACTTCCTTATCCATAGTTTTTTACTACATATTTTTCACTGTGAATTCATCTTTCATTTTTACTATACTTTGTTTTTATTTATGTTATGCTCTCTAGCTCAGCTATCCATCTGTTTAGACTTTGTCCATCCTTCCAGTGCAAACTCTGATGTCACCTTTTCCATGAAGTCCTTTTGATTTTTTTTCTATCTTCCTAGCTGGAGAGGATACTTTCTTTCTTCTTAGTTTGTGTAGCATACAGTCCAGAAATGACTGTATATCCGAATCATTTTTACAAGGTAGAGATTTCTAAGTCTTACCTCTAGAGAATCTTTCATCAGTAGGCCTACATTGTAGCCAGGGAGGTGATATTTTTTTTAAAGTTTAACATATTAATTGTATTCTCATTTGACCTTTATTGAGTTCATACTTTTATTGAAGTTCTAGGTAGTTGATGCATATACTCAGTGAGAATACAGATTGTGCTGTAGTAATTATTTTTTCCATAGTTTTATAATTGTGGAATTTAATATTAGCATATATCTTTTCAAACAGCTGTTCATTTTGGATCTGGAGACAGTTCTTCAGAAGACGGAGTGATGATGAACACACCTGTGGTCAAATCTGCCTTGGAAATGGGCTTTAGTAGAAGCCTGGTGAAACAGACAGTTCAGAGTAAGATTCTAACAACGGGAGAGAACTACAGAACAGTTAATGATCTCGTGTCAGCACTTCTTAATGCTGAAGATGAGAAAAGGGAAGAGGAGAAGGAAAGACAAGCTGAAGAAGTGGCATCAGGTACTGGGGCGGGTCAGTGTTTCCCAGGGAAACCCTCACGACAGCCGCGTGTGGCAGGGCATTGTGCGGTTTCCCTTCCACTGCCCTGGGGAGTGGTCCCTTCATGTCCAAACTGCTCCTCCCTCTTCTGCCCCTCTCAGCTGCTTCTCGTGGAGAACCATTGGCTGCAGTTGTTTTCTATATATTTATTTACTGATAGAATTCCCAGATTTATACTATCAGAGAACTTTAGCATGATGAGCTCTTTTCTTGAGCTACTTTGCATTTCTTCCCCATAAATAACAAATTTAAATTGTTTTGAAAAAGCACGATTTTAAAGTTGGATGCGGGTCTTCTACTTTTCTTTTTGAAGTTTCTTAATCAGTTCTTTTTTTTTTTTTTTGCGTTGGAGTCTCACTCTGTCGCCCAGACTGGAGTGCAGTGGCCGCTCCCAGCCACCGCAGCCTCTACCTGCTGTGCTCTGGTGATCCTTCCGTCTCAGCCTTCCAAGTAGTTGGAACCACAGGCGCGCGCTACCACGCCCGGCTACTTAATCGGTTCTTAATAGAATGTTTTACTCCTTAGTTAGTCCTTGCTAAGTAATCTTTATACAGAAAATGGAATTTATGATGAGATCCTAGGGCTTGACGAGAACCTCTTTGCAAACCAACCCAGCGGCAGTAGGGAAACTGAGCTTGATATTCATTCAGGTGGTATTGTTGAGCAATCATGTATTCCTTCAACAGGTATCTATTACGCATGAGCGCCGATGCCAACTGTTGTGCTGGTCACGGTAGTTGCTCTCAAGGAGTCTGTAGCCCACCTAGGGGGCGCAGTGTGCAAAGGACAGGGTGGAAGGGCCAGCAGTCCAGTGAAGGTTGCGGGTGTGTGTAAGGTGGGGCCTTGCGTTGGAAGACTGTTTTTGAACTTGTACGTATGATAGGAATAGGTTAAGAGAGTCTTCTTGTCTGGCCATGGAGCAGAATGTCTAAAATCTGAGCTCCAGGATGAAGCAGATTCATGGCTGGCCAGGCACAGTGACTCATGCCTGTCATGCCAGCACTCTCTCTCTGCCTTGTAGAAATGATTGGTAGGCTGAGGCAGGAGCGTGGCTTGAGCCCAGGAGTTTGAGAGCAGCCTGGGCGACATAGTGAGACCTTGGCTCTACCACCAAAAACAAACTAAAAAAGTTAGTCGGGTGTAGTGCTGCATGCTTCTAGTCCCAGCTCCTTGAGAAGCTGAGGTGGAAGGATTGCGTGAGCCTAGGAAGTTGAGTCTGCAGTGAGCCATGATCTTGTCACTGCACTCCAACCTGGGTCACTGAGTGAGACCTTGCCTCAAAAAACAAGTCTAGTCACCTTGCTTTTGTGGCTATGTCCTACTTTGTGTGGGTCAGAAAATGTCATTGAATTACATATTTGGCAGGGCTAGTAAGGGAAAGGCCAAGCAAAGAACAGGGAGGAAGAGTGAGGGGTGCTGACAGGAGAAGCTCAGGGAACACCTGACTGATCTGGGTGAGAGTCCCAGGTCTGAAGCAGAGCAGGGGACAGCGCTTGTGCTGGGAGAATTTGAGACTGACGTGGAAAGCTTGGAAAAGTGAAGAACAGACTTGTTTGCGGTGAGGGCAATTGTTCAGGTAGAAGGATAAGTTGTGGTCAGAGAAGGGAGTTTATAGTTTTGAGGTGCACAGAGCAGTTCACGTCTAGAAAGATATAAAAGGGGAAAGAAGATAGACTTCTGTTTTTATAATTTATTTCTCATTAAACTTACAGCTTTTTTTTGGATTATAAAATATAGTTTATTTAGAAAGTAAATTGGAGAGAGAGAGACTGAGAGAGAGAGAGAGAGAGAGAGAGAGAGAGGGAGAGAGACAGAGACAGAGAGGAGATTCACCTCCCCAACGCAGGGAAGGGGGCCAAAGCTAGGAAGACATAGCCTGGCCATAGCTCAGTGAACACATGGCCTGGCCAGTGCTTAGCAAAGCAATGGCCAACTTGTATCTTGTAGAGATTACATTTTCTTTGAAAGTCTGAAAATGGACAGTTAAATTTTATAGTGATTGAAACACCAAAAGAAGGAACTGCAGTATTCTATAAATAAATGTAAATTAACCACGGAGTGGTATGTGATGTGAGATTGAAGGAAAAATATTTGCTTTTAAAAAAAGATCAGTCTGGATTCATATGTAGTATCTTTTTAAAAAATGGTGTAGGCTTAGACATTTATAAAGTAATAATGATCCTTAGCTGTGTGCTACATATTGTGCTAAATGCTTTACACGTATGAGGGAAGACCCAAAAAAACCCCCAGAATTCTGGTTTTTTTGGGGGCCCCCATGTTATTCAATCTTCTCAACTCTGAGAAAGGAACTATCGCTATGTATATTTGAAAGATGAGGAAACTGAAACGTATGGGGGAAGATGAGAGCACATAGCCGGCTATTAATGGGAAGGTCAGGCCAGCATGGGAACCTGGGGATGTGTTGACCTCACAGCTTGGCTTCTGCAGCACTGCAGTCGCTCCTGAAGTGCGGGGTGTTGAGAAGGACCCTGGGCCAGGAGACCTGGTTCTACTGCTTAAGCTCTGTGACCTTGGACAGGCTGCGGAGCTCTTCAGAGCTCTTGGGAGCCTTCTCCCTGTCCGAAAGTGAGGGGTGAGGGGCAGTCGTACTTGCCTTGTTTATGTAACAGTATCTTTGTATCAAATGAGATGATTTACATGAAAGTACTTTAAAAACGAAAGTGAGAGAATGCAAATAGAGGTCAGTAATATTCCATAGAGCTGGGAAATTTTTATTGTCCTCTAAAATTCTCTGTTTACTTTCAACCGAATAAAGGAAAAGTAGGTTTCAAGGACATATGAATACATAGGCTTTTAAAATGACAGAAACAGAGACCCTGTATGTACTGTATAATATTATTTTAGCTAAACCCTTTGGAAATTTTCCAAAAAACAGACATTCAAATGCAAGCAAGTTATTTTAGTTCTTTTTTGAGCTGTATTTATTTTATTTAGTGCCTAACTTGTTTTAAATTATTTTTAGTGCCTAAATTGTTGAGTGCCTAAATTTTATTTTAGTGCCTAAATTTAGTGCCTAAATTTTATTTTATTTAGTGCCTAAATTGTTTTATTTAGTGCCTAAATTGTTTGTAGGGTTGGTTGTTAATGACTATAAAATTGATAATGGATTTTTTTCTTTTATTTTAATGAAGATGACTTGTCATTAATTCGGAAGAATAGAATGGCTCTCTTTCAACAGTTGACATGTGTGCTTCCTATCCTGGATAATCTTTTAAAAGCCAATGTGATTAATAAACAGGAACATGATATTATTAAACAAAAAACACAGATCCCTTTACAAGCAAGAGAATTGATTGACACCATTTTAGTTAAAGGAAATGCTGCAGCCAACATCTTCAAAAACTGTCTAAAAGAAATTGACTCTACATTGTACGAGAATTTATTTGGTGAGTTTGTTGGGAAAATTATTTTAGAAATCCTTGGGATTATGTTTCTTTCTCTGTAGGACAAGCGAATAAGTCCAGTTAGCAATTCACTGTACATTTCCCTTGATTCAAAAAGTGAAGTCTTTTATTTCTCAGTGGTATGCCTAAATGTGACGATTCCTGATCATATATAGCTGGACTCTACATTATGTTAATAGTAGGTGAAGCAGTTTTGTGTTTAGTAGAATAATGGTTTTTGTATTCTTTCTTTCCTCAGTGGATAAGAATATGAAGTATATTCCAACAGAAGATGTTTCAGGTAAAACAAAATTAAGACTTAAAATCAACATGAATATCCTTTTTTAAATGGGTGATAAAGTGGAAACTGAATTTCACTTCAAGTTATGTTTTGTCATTAGGTCTATCACTGGAAGAACAATTGAGGAGGTTGCAAGAAGAAAGAACTTGTAAAGTGTGTATGGACAAAGAAGTTTGTATCGTGTTTATTCCTTGTGGTCATCTGGTAGTGTGCCAGGAATGTGCCCCTTCTCTAAGAAAATGCCCTATTTGCAGGGGTATAATCAAGGGTACTGTTCGTACATTTCTCTCATAAGGAAAAATGGTCTGTAAAATATTGTTGAACATTTAAAGCCATCTGAAGTAAAAAAGGAATTAATGATTTTTTTTCACTTAGTACCATTCATAATCTAGTCTGCTTTGGTAGTGATAATCTTATTTCTAAAATGATGGTGTTATATATTGTGTTTAACCTTTAACCTTAACATGTTTATTTACAAGAGAAGATGTGTTTGGTGAGCTCTATTAGTATGTGTGTGTGAACACAGGAATTAAAGGGGTCATGTCAGTGCTTGTTATGTATCATTTCAGGAGTTACTGGATTCGGTATTCTTTCAGGAAGCTTTGAGTACTAAATTATAGTTGCAGACTGGAAGAACTAGAAGCCAGGAACTCTGTGGAGTTTGTGAGAGTTGTGGTGCCAGATTCCCTTTGGTGCATTTCACTTGTGTTTTCAAATAAGGATTCTTCTGTTACTGGTAAACACATTTTCCCCTCGTTTGTGAGAGACATCTTAATAAAGTGCTTTAAAAAGATTGCATTCTTGAAATGTTTTTCTGTCCTGACATACGAAGTAATTTTCATGGGTCTTCATTATACCCAAATGCTAACTATTGAGTAAAAAAGTGAGTTCATGAAACAAATTATAAAGAAGCATTCTTAAGATAACAAAGTGATCTATGGGAATTTGTTTTAGAATACGGTTTCTTGTTGCTTTGTTTGTTATAGATATAATGTTGGCTGAAAAATGAGTCAGTATCGAGAGACTCTTAATTTAAAAATTCAACAAGTCAGCATTAGAATTTTCAGAAAATAGTGTAACTGCTTTGTTGCCTAGGTGCTGATGGGGTGGGAGGAAGGATACAGGCCATGCTTGGTATCTCCTCACTGGGTCCAGTCCCATTTGACCTTTTCCAGATCTGGCTGTCTGCAGGCTTCTGAGGCCAAGTGGATAAGGAGGTCTAATATTAAAAACTCCACTTTTCTTCTCACCCCACAGCTCTTTTAGGGCCCTGAACATAGAGAACACACTGGGAAGGGTGGGCGAGCACACCCCTGTCCTCTAATAGCTTGTTGTTGTTTCCTCCCTGATGTGCTGATACTGACGAAAGTATAAATGCACACTTCAGTTCAAGACCTCGTGTCAGCAAGAGAAAGTCTCTCCTTGACATTATAGAGAAAACAGAATTTTTTTCCTCTCAAATTTAATAGACTCGGAAAAATGATAAGACATTGCTAAGCTTTCTCTCTCTTCTATCCTGAGGAGATGATTCGTTCCCTCCAGGATTCAAATTAGAAGTCCTTTAGTCAAAACAACCCAGTATGTTTAAGTAATAGAAGTAGTGCCCCTTGTCAACACAGGAGGCTATTGAGTCTTTTTAGAAACTATTCTCTGTTTTGCTTGATAACAGCTGCTAATTAAGGAGCCACTGTGTGCCAGGCACAGTACTAGATGCTTTAAACAAATTTGCCATGTGCTGTAGGCTCAGCTGTATCTCCCCAGATTTATACGTTGAAGTCCTAATTGCCAGTACCTCACAGTAGGTTAATTCAGAATGTGCCTGTACTTGGAAGGAGGACTTTATTAATTTACTTATTTTTAAATTTTTGAACCAGAGTCCCACTCTGTCGCCGCCCAGGCTGGAGTACAGGGACACCATCACAGCTACCACAGCCCCTACTTGCCAGCTCAGGCGATCCTTCTGCCTCAGCCTTCCAAGTAGCTGGAACTATGGTGCAGGCCATCATACCTGGCTAATTTGTATTTAGTGTAGAGATGAGGTCTTGCCAGGTTGACCAGGCTGGACTCAGGCAGTCCTCCTGCCTTGGCCTCCCCAAGTGCTGGGATTACAGGTATGAATGAGCCACTGGGCCCGGCTGGAAGTAGGGTTTTTAAAGAGGCAGTTAAGGTGAAGTGAGATGGTATGGGTGATCCCTAATCCAGTATGACTGGCTTCCTTCTAAGAAAAGGAGAGTCGATGCAGACACACGGAGGGGCAGACGGGTGGCCATCTAAAAGCCAAGGAGAGAGGCCTCAGCAGAAACCAAGCCAGCCCAACCTTGATCCTGGACTTCTGGCTTCCTGAACTGTGAGAAACTGTTGTTTAAGCCGCCTAGCTTGGACTTTTTGTTAAGGCAGCCTTAGCAAAGCAATACAGGGAGCTGGGTACTTGAAAGCACATTGGCTCTGGTCCTTTCTGCAGTCCTGCAAAGTAAAATTTGAACGTGGGTCCACCTGACTCCTTAGCTTGTGTTTTCTGAACAAACTGTCCTATTAAGTCATATTAAGAAAATTTTTTTTGAGTCGGAGTCTCACTCTGTCACCCAGGCTGGAGTACAGTGGCACACTCACAGCCACTGCAGCCTCGACTCGTTGGGCTCAGGCGATCCTTCCACTTCAGCCTTCCAAGTAGCTGGAACTACAGGCACGTGCCACCACGCCCAGCTAATTATTTATTTATTTATTGTAGAGACGAGGTCTTGCCAAGTTGCCCAGGCTGATCTGGAACCCATGGGCTCAGACAATCCTCTCACCTCGGCCTCCCAAAGGGCTGGGATTATAGTCGGGAGCCACCGCACCCGGCCTGTATTAAAATTCTTAAACATTGCACAGGCTACCATTTAGTATATAACTATAATAACTTACGATTTGAGTTCTAGTTATATAAGAGATTTTTCATATTTGACTAGTCAGCTTTAATATGTAAGACTTTTATGTTTTCATATTCAATAAAAATGCCCAAATATAAGCAAACAGTCATGTAGCTTATACTGTATCCACTTGCTAATTCTCATGTGTACTAGATTTGAGATTCCTTTCTTATCCTTTTTCCCCAGATGATGATAATCAGAGCCACAGACAAGGCTTGGTATGAGCAGATAGATGAATGTCAGATGCTTTGTTTGGTTTATATATTGTCTTACGTGATCCTTAAAACCACAGGAGACACGTCGTCCCTTTTTTATAAGTGTGGAGATTGAGGCTCAGCGAAACCATGAGATTGCTGGAGATGGCAGTGGTGGACTGTTAGCTGCAGGTACGTAGCCCAGGTGGAAGTGGCACCAGAATATTTACTTGTAATCTCTTGCTGAACCCCACTTCCGTTTTCTGCTTCCTTGCTTGTGCGATGATCTCTCTTCGCCTGCCAACCCAAATGCGGAGAATTGTGCAGTCACTTGTTAGACTTCTCACTTGCTTCCCACATTCTCTCTGAAAAGAGCTCAAGTACCGCAGTGGAGTCAAGGTCACTCTTCTCCACATAACAGCCCGAGAGACCGTGTCCTCATTGAGTCCGTAAGTCGGGGGACAACTCTCTGCAGACCCAGGTTTCTTCTAGAAGTGCAACCTTCCAACGTGTATTCCCTCCTGGTGTAAAATAAGCCTCTGAGTACACGGTAGAGTTCTTTCAACTCTTCTGGGGGCTCTGAGAAAAATGAAACATGGAGCCAAGATGTCATTCGCCATCACTGTGCTGACATTTGCCACAATGGTACAAACACAGTGGTGGTCAGGGGACCAGCCTGTAAGAACCATTGGTGTGTGGTGAGCATCGTCCTGATGTATGTATTTGTTTTTTACAAAAATTGAGTCCAGGAAGAATTGTATTAAGAAAACATTTAAGCCAGGCACGGTGGCTCACGGCCGTAATTCCAGCACTTTGGGAGACAGTGGTGAGAGGACTGCCTGAGCGCAGGGGTTTGAGACCAGGCCAGGCAACTTGACAAGACCTCGTCTCTACAAAAAGTAAAAAATTAGCCGGGGGTGGTGGTGTGCACCTGTAGTTCCAGCTACTTGGAAGGCTGAGTTGGAAGGATCACCTAAGCCCAGCAGGTCGTGGCTGTGGTGGCCTTGAGAGTGCAATTGCACTCCAACCTGGGTGACGGTGAGACTCTGACTCAAAAAGAAAAATTTAGTCTTCTCTGTCAAGGTTTTCTTTGCTCCTGCACTTATCCTCTTGGTGCTTTTGAAAGAAAAACATGGGTATGCCCAGCCGTTCAGTCCCGTCTTCTCTTTCTTGGGGAGCCAGCTTACCCACAGAGAATGTGCTTTGCTTCTCTGTGAGGTTGGCCTCACAAGGGCCTGTCTTGGTTTTCAGTATCGCCAGTAACTGAGTGGTCAAGTTTGTTTTATGTTAGGGTTTGTACCTACACCTAAGAGCTGCCCTTCAAGTCCGTTACCTGTAATAAAGGTGAGTTTTTCACTGTTAGGTGAGGACTGCTTTTACCTTTTGCTGGTTCTATACTTAAGTAAAGGATGTTATCGGAGCCCCACAAACCCACAACAGATTTTGTTGCCGGGTTGGTCTGTTGGGATTTGCATGATGATTCAGGGGAAGAGGATTTAAATAGCTTAATAGAAATGGAAAAACCATGGTAATAAACCATAATTGTGCTAGGTCTTGTTATCTTTCTGGTATGGTGTCCAGACTGGCTTTGCCCAGCGAGTCCTTGGAGCTTCTGAGCCTCAGCAGCTCTGATGATAAAGGGTAATAGGTAGCCCGTGTTGTGTTGCTCAGTGTGGGACAGTGGAAACAGCCTTGAATTTCAGCTCCAAAGACTTTGCCTCTAAGCCCAGTTCTACATTTATTTATTTATTTATTTTTGAGTCGGAGCCTCACTCCATTGCCCAGACTGGAGTGCAGTGGCTGCTCCGGCCACCGCAGCCTCGCCCTGCTGGGCCCTGGCGATCCTTCCGCCTCAGCCTTCCGAGGAGCCGGAATTACAGGTGCGCGCTACCATGCCCAGCTGATTTTTGATTTATTGTAGAGATGAGGTCTCGCCAAGTTGCCCAGGCGGGTCTCGAACCCGCGGACTCAGGCAGTCCACTCACCTCGGCCTCCCAAAGTGCTGTGATGACAGGCTCGAGCCACCGCATCCAGCCACTTCTGTGTTCCTAATTAGCAGGTTGTGCTAAAAACAATGTGGTGGGTCTGATCCCCAAGTAGCAAACATCCTGTTTCAGGTCTGACCTGGGTAGACTGAGTCACAGCATCGTGCTCTGCTCAGTTTTTGCTTGCTTGTTTTGTCTTAAGACCAGGTAAACACTTGAACAGATATTTGTTGTAAAAGAGTCTAACAGGATAAGTATATAAAGTGAAAGGTGTAAGTCCCCCTTAATTTCTCCCCACTGCTACCTTCAGTCCCCTCCCCAGGTGTAGTTGCCATTAAATTTGATAAGTGTTCAGTGTGTGGATGTGTATACACATGCATCCACACATACACACACACACATGTGGTTATAGGACTGTTCTGAAGGTTACTTTTTTACTCAATAGTAGGCCTTGAAGGTCTTTATTTTTCCATGTCATTAATGATTTTTCTGTAAAAATAGAAATCATCATTTCAGTCTCAAAGCTGTAGGGAAGCTAAAAGTTTTTCTCTGGCCTATTTGATCTGTAAAATCTCTTTCCAGTATTTCTGACAAGCACACATACAACCTCTCAAACAGAATTCGCTAACTTGCAGAGAAGCTTATCCATTTTGAGACTCTTGATTACTAGAGAAATTCATCATATAGTACAATTTGGGGTAATTGG